TAATCTGATGTTAAACTAACCCTACACAAAGCTTGATAGTGACTCTATCAATGTATCAGTAAATCCGAAGCAATTCAAGCTCATCTGCTTGACATGTGTACATACCTGTGCTCATCAAATACCAGAGAAGTGGAGAGATTTATCATTAGCCTGATAGAACAGACTTGTTTACACAAATAATCATAGAACATCCACAATCTAAACATTTGAATGCTAGTGTTTGTTCAATCAATTCCTGACTGACACTTGGACTAAACTCCCTCCCAGAGTCCCCCATCATCTGTCCAAGTAACCATGTCCGTCCCCTCACGCTGCAATGTTAACATGCACTCATCAACACTCACTTAGTGCTGGCTGGGGGCTGCATATCCCTCATATATGTGGCATGTATTGGTGGACTGGCTGGTATGTAAACAGGATGGATGTAACTCATACTGATGTCATTGCACTGGATGGAGGGCATGCATTAAGTCATAGAGCAAGCTGCATTGTGAATATGCATTTTAAGTCATAGAGCAAGCTGCACTGTGAATATGCATTTTAAGTCATAGAGCAAGCTTCATTGTGAATATGCATTAAGCAAGCTCACAGAGCAAGGTGGACTGTGAATATGTATCACAGCATACTTCATTGTGAGCAATAGAGCAAGCTGCACTGTGAATATGCATTTTAAGTCATAGAGCAAGCTGCACTGTGAATGCAGGCTATGTATTATAGCATAGAGCAAGGTGCACTGTGAATATACATTATAGCATAGAGCAAGGTGCACTGTGAATATGCATTGCATTATAGGGGAAGGTCATCTATGAATATGCATTATATTGCAAAGAGCATGGTGCACTGTGAATATGCATTACATCATAGTGCAGTTTGCTCTAGGTGGACAATATGCATTATATCATTATTTGACAGTCACCTCAACTTCAACATAAATAGGTCACTAGTATCCCATCCAGACTGAATGTTGCTGACTCATGAGGATTGTTTGAGTGTAATCTGTGTGTCACTCACTCACTCACTCCTCTGTGACTATTGTTCCTCAGCAAGTGTTGCCCGCTACCCAAGTGGTCACTCCCCTGGCATGTGTTATATCTCAGATTGATACCCTTCCCAAACCTCAAGTTATCTGCATACAAGCTCTACCAACATATTCAAATACTTATCATTATTTTGTTAGAATCTGAAGTGGTGTGAGGGTTTACAGAAACAAGAGATATCTTGTACGTCCCCCACCCAAGGCTAACATCTTCTCTCTCTGAACCTCTGTTAAACTGCTGTGTCAGCTACAAGTTTCCCTTTACACATGAATGGTCATCAAACTAGTCACCTTCTTGTCCAACAAAACACAGGTAAACATCACCTGGTGAAAACTCGTTAACCCCAGTGTGCGACCAGGTAGAATCTACAATAGTGTATTTGTGCAGGTTGTTCACATGCCAGGATTAACAGTATCTCAATAGTCAAGGTAAAGTGATCCCGACTATATGAAGTTTTTACTGTTGTTGTTGACACCTGCTGGATTAACTTCACCTGTGTATGGACAGTTAGCCCTGCAGAGGGCAAAGGTGGAACTGGAAGAATAATACAGGACTGGTCAGGCTCGGTTGACATGGTAATGACACTGGAGTGGACAAAATGATGGTGGCTTTATACTGGGCAGGACACTGTGTCATTCTACTCAGCCATTACTAAGAATGTCAAGTTGAGTATGTTCATAACAAACCAGATGACTCAATTCAATCTGCCAAACATTCCCCTAAAAATAGGGACACATCGTTTCATGCTGACCACAATCTTCAGATTTAATCATCTTTCATAATAAATGCCTTCATAACTGTAAAGTTAAACATAAACTCATGATAATAGAGTCCTCATCAATATCATCATATATAACCACTGTTATAACCACATCAGCGTCTGTGTTACTAGTGCTGGCTACTGCTGTAACTCCATTACTACTACTCAGCTACTACAATCACTACTACTCTAGTCATTACTTGTACTGACACTGCTACTACTACTACAACTACTACTACTACTACTACAACTACTACAACTACTACTACTACTACTATGGATCCTACTACTACAATGAAGTCTACTTATACCACATGCACTACCATTACATCTACTACTACAACTACTACTACTACTACTACTACTACTACTACTACTACTACTGCTATGAACTAACTACATGTACTACTAATACTAATACTACTTATACTATATGCACTACTATTACATCTACTACTACTAACTACTACAACTACTACTACTACTACTACTACTACAACTACTACTACTACTACTACTATACTACTACTACTTCTACAACTACTACTACAACTACTACTACTACTACTACTACTACTACTACTACTACTACTACTACTGCTATGAATCCTACTACTTCAATGAAGTCTACTTATACCACATGCACTACCATTACATCTACTGCTGCACCTGCCACTACTACTACAACTGCCACTATAATAATACTGCCACACTAACACTACTGCCCCATTCCTACTGCTACCATGATCATCAACTGCCAAATGAATGACACAATAAAGCACTTTGCTATGGTTCACAGTTTATAGTCAATATCATTGTGTGGTCGAGACATTGAAGATCACTGAGGCAGTTCTGGCTGTCTGTGCAGGCTGATGGAAGGCGCAGTTCTGGCTGTCTGTGCAGGCTGATGGAAGGCGCAGTCAATACATGGATTGATCACAAAGCTGTCCTCAGTCTGCCATGTCATGGTGGCATGCATGAGCGATGTCTCTTGTGGCAGACAGGGACGCCAGCCATTATGATTGACGAGACCGTGACAGTGTATACTTATAGATCACTTTGTGTTGCAACATTCTGGTGAGGCGCCCTTGGGTGGAGGCAGGTAGCTGAGCATGGCACATGGGGGATTTGGTCACAGTGAAGTACACACAATGTGTATAGTGACAGTGAAGTATGCACAGTGTGTATAGTGACAGTGAAGTATGCACAGTGTGTATAGTTACAGTACAGTAATGCAGTCTGTAAGTCACAGTAAAGTTCTGACTCACCATCTTGTAACAACAGCCTTGTATCCAAAACTACATAAATATGTAAATAAGGGAAACAAACAAGCAGGGAAGCACACTACAGTTTTTGCAAGTCAGCCAACCTGTGTACCAGTGAGAAAAGTAGTTATTTATAACTCTACCTTGACAGATACATTCCCGCAATCAGTGTTCCCCTCCCCACACATAGATGACGTACCACCACACTACCACATCTACAGGTACGCAATCTGTTAACCATCTGAAGTTAAACTCAGTTAACCGGATTACATTTGATTTAATGTTAGAGTGTCCTGCCACAGACTTCCATCCTCTGATGTTGTGAGGTGGGATTCTGCAGGTGACACCTCCACACAATAGTCTCCCGCTGACTGGCGCCACCTGGCTCCCCGCTTTCCATGTTACCTGCTGTAGTAGTCATCAATGAATGGCTTTTTTTCAGAAACTTTATTAATAGAATAAACCCCAGATTATTGATCTGGACTCAGGATTAAAACAATATTACATGACAAGACCTAATTTAATGGGGACCTGAAAGTTACAAACTGATGTAAATGATGATTTTCAGTGAAAGCTGTTAGTGAAGCGGCCATTTGTTCATGTTGTACAGATAATCTGCTTCATTGTAGGACCAAACAATGTCACTGCTAATTTCAGAGCTCTCTACTTTAAACACTTTATGCCTGCATGAGGTTCACAGAAGGCTTCAGTTCAATATTTCTTACTTTCCACTGCTGCAAATGTAGGAGCAGACTTGTCAGTAAACAATGTGCCAGTTAAAATATCACAGGAAATCCAGACAGCCTGTCTCCTGGACTCTAGGGAATATAGAAAATAAAAAATTCAGCTTAAGTCTAGAATGATCTGGCCAGATTAGATGATCTCAGCCCGAAAATAGGCACTGTTCTGGGCTCCACATGGATTTTTTCTTCTATTTTGTAGATAAACATTTAGATTACTTTTTGTAATGCATGAAACCTGGTTTGATAAAAGATGAATCTATTACATTATGACACAAAGGATGTCAATTTCCATAAGACTCTACAGGGATAAGATATCAGCCTGGGACAGCAGGACTTCTCTGCTTCATGATTGTAACTGAGCATCTTGCATTTTCTGTGATGAGCAAGCATTTAGCAACTCAAACACAGCCTCCTCACTGGTCACTTTCATTCCACTGCCGAAGGGAGGATCGTGTCCACTCTTCAATGTAGTGAACTGCAAGCATCAAATTGTTTCAGATACCAAGGGTCAAACCCATTCATTATTTCCACTGATTGATCTGGGGGGCCCAGGCGAGATGCGCATTCCTGTGATATGAGAGGCCCCTCATCCAAAGCTTTTAAGCTAATCATCAGAATCAGCTGTGGTATGGCATGTAGTCCCTAAATGCGCTCCATTGAAGAATCATTCATGTATGAAAATGTGCAATTGTAATCGTATGGATGCCTATCAACCCTCTGTGTGAAAATTATACATATACCTCTCACTGACTTGTCCACTTAAACTCTCCATCACCTCCTGAATAAGACACATACACAGATGCAAGAACACCCACATGTGCACACACACACATATGGACACACACATATATGCATGCACATGCATGCACACGCACATATGGACACACCTTCAACTTTCAAACTTTCTGAATAAAAGGGTCAGTTTTACAAAAATGTAATATTTAGATTACACAGTTTCAAGTTATCTTAACCTGAAATATAGCTGTGGTTTCAGAAAGTTGTGCAGTAAGCTATACTGAGAAATAAGCCTACAGTATTCTGGGTTATCATGACTTGAGCCCTGATTCCTAGCGCAACACTGGTCTTAAACATCCAGCAATACCAACCTGTCACTTCAAATGACCTTGACATCCGTTGTGTCTACCACACAGCCTCCGATGTTACGAGAGTTACTACAGCAGCGTCTCATACTTCCCACACTTGCCATGTTGTTGTTTATTGTTTTATTTCCATAGCAACACAACATGCACCACTGAAGGCCAGTCACGATGATTGTGTAATTTTAGTTTTCCTGTTCACTTATATCTGCAATCAGTTACTGCCAGTGTTGTTCGGAGTTCTAAGCAAAACATGTAATTGGACAATTTAAATCTCCTTGCCAATGTTCCAATCTTCTGGGAGTACTGAGGGTCAGGTACCAAGCTCCTGCTGTAATCCAGCCGCCCTAGGGTCCTATACAGATGACACCACTCGCAAGATAGCACCGGTACTTACATGATACGCAGCTGAACAGGAGCGTGCCTGTAGTTCCTGTTGAGGTAGGAATGGTGCTCATTAACTTAGGATTTAAGATAGGCATTAATAGATAATGTGAGATGAAGATGGCAATAGGAGTGCTCTTTCCCATCATTCCAATATAGATGTACAGTGCTTGTACATAACCACAAGATGGGCTCAATTTTCATATTGTTTCCTTGTCATTAAGATTACAGTTTAAAATGGAATGTACATTGCTTGCATCTGGAATTTACCTGTTGAGTTTACTTTGTATTTATTTGTAGTTTGTGGAATATTGCCACCAAGGAATGTTACACATTACAATTCTTATCTTTCAATTCAGCACGTGATTACTTCACATTTCTAACAAGAAGATATAAAAGTCATACTGCCAGAATTTCAGAGGTTTAGGACGATATCCCCATGGCAAATACGAATTTGATATTTTATACTTTAAAAATACTGATGGATTCATATTCTATATGGTATGGGATCCATTGTGTGATGTAAAATATGTAGAACAAATAATTGCTCCCTTTCTATATGACAGCGTCATCAGTTTTATAACAACAGAAGGGACAGTTCTAGATGTGGATGTGTGGACTCCAAGACACTGTATTGCTTAGTAGGGTCACAGAAAAGGGGCAAGACAATACCCAGTTTTAAACTGGATGACTACTATAATGACTCATTTATTGTCAAACTTCAGAACTAATTGATGTATGTAGTAAGATAACAAAATGTTATGTCTGATAAATGTCTGATAGGAGCATTCAGATAGAGCGGTATTGCTTTAACTCCAAATAATGTATACTAAATAGTGAAATGTGTTTGAATCACAACATATTTCTCCCTTATCTGCTGTTCAAGTAAGAGCTCACAAACAGTAATTCCAGCAGTGACATTTAATCAAGGTAAATAACAGTCGCCCTGGCTTTAAATCCTGTAACAAAATGGCTTCTGCAATGTATGTCCTCACAACCGTATAACTGCATGCTTTAGATGTAATCACCACCTAATCTCGGGCATGAAATGTTTCTTATTACAGCTAGCTCATCCCTCACCTGATAACGTTTTCCAAATGCTAAAGCTGCTGTCTTGTATTGTCCCAGCAGCAGGTTGTGTTTCACATTACACAGGTGGCGCTACCTGGTGTTCACAGTTACTTAATGAAAACTGAGTTTCAGCCAACATATTGACACAGAACATATTTGTGTTGATTTAGTATGAAAATGTACTTGTGCTTTAGCATCTTGAACTTACTGTAATACTGCCTGAAAAAACACAACAGTCAGTTACTCGAATCCCCCCCCACACACACACACACTCTCTCTCTCTCTCTCCACAAACTCCACTATCTACTAATCTACTTAATTAGAATTGCTTAGCATTAAAAAACTGTATCTCATAAGTCTAAAGAAGACTACAGAATACATCACTGTCATCAGTTAAAAACAATAATTTGCATATATCTTGTGACCGTAACCATTTAAACTTTAAAACAGATCAATCCTGCTGCAGACAAGCGTGAATCGATGGTCATTACACGAAAACATTAAACAGTTTCATGTCTCCCGAGACTCTATAAATAAAACTAGCTTAATGTGATAGGAAAGTGAATAATACTGGGTAACAAAGTTCACCCCACTTCCTGGGAAACATCTGACATTTTGTTAGTTATTGTCTCTGTCTGCCTGGCGTGACCACGGTCTGGCTGAATCAGAGGGTGGCCATGGACATTGGACGCTTATTGATCTGTCCACACAATCAAAAAGACACACTCATCCCCATTCCTTCCACTGTTGGAATGTCCTCCTCATTCAGATCTTGTTGCAGTTAGTTGCCATGGTGATCACCTGAGGTGAACTCTGTGGCTGGTTGGCTGTGAGTGATGAATGGAAGGAAATGATGGAAGGAGGGAATTTCATGGATGAATGAACAATACAGACAGCGCAAATTTCCCCAATGTCTGTTTATATGTTACTCAGGCTCTTTAGAGAGTTTAGAAACCAGGAATAATGTGACCTGCTGGTGTCTGGTAAGGGGGCATGATTTAATCAATAGTTTATCATCCTTACCACAAGTTTGTGATGAGATTGTGACTTGAGAAGTGCCTGCAAAAAAACTTATTTAAGAAACAGTGAATATAATCCAGAAGTACCACCCACAGCATATGAAATTACCTTGTTAAAAACCCATGATACAACAACAGTTCATTCACATGTGGTATGATACAACCATACACACCAACTTGAGTACAATACTATTGTACACACCAACCAGAGTACAATGACATTGTACACCAAAATAGAGAACAAAACCATTGTACACACCAACCAGAGTACAATACCATTGTACACATACACCAACCAGAGTACAATCACATTGTATACACCAACCAGAGTACAATACCATTGTACACACCAACCAGAGTACAATACCAATTGTACACACCAACCAATTTGTACACACCATCCATTTTGTACACACCAACCAGCGTACAATACCATTGTACACACCTGAATACAATACCATTGTACACACCAACCAGCGTACAATACCATTGTACACACAGACCTGAGTACACACACCAAACCAGTGAGTACAATACCATTGTACACACAGGCCTGAGTACAATACCACTGTACACACCAACCAGAGTACAATACCATTGTACACACCAACCAGAGTACAATACCATTGTACACACCAACCAAAGTACAATACCACTGTACACACAGACCTTAGTACAATACCATTGTACACACCAACCAGAGTACAATACCATTGTACACACCAAGCTGAGTACAATACCATTGTACACACCAACCAGAGTACAACACCACTGTACACACTGACCTGAGTACAATACCAGTGTACATACCAACCAGAGTACAATACCAGTGTACACACCAACCAGAGTACAACACCACTGTACACACAGGCCTGAGTACAATACCACTGTACACACCAACCAGAGTACAATACCAGTGTACACACAGACCTGAGTACAATCCCATTGTACACACCAACCAGAGTACAATACCATTGTACACACCAACCTAAGTACAATACCACTGTACACACCGACCTGAGTACAATACCATTGTACACACCAACCAGAGTACAATACCATTGTACACACCAACCAGAGTACAATACCATTGTACACACCAACCAGAGTACAACACCAATGTACAAACTGACCTGAGTACAATACCATTGTACACACCAACCAGAGTACAACACCACTGTACACACTGACCTGAGTACAATGCCAGTATACACACCAACCCAAGTACTGTAATTCCACTGTACACACCAACCTGAAAACAATGTAACCACTGTACACCCCAACTAGAGTACAATACCATTGTACACCCCAACTAGAGTACAATACCACTGTACATACCAACCTGAGAACAATGAGTAAAATAAGATTATACCTATCAACTAGATTTAAATACCATTGTACAAATCAACTAATTACAATAATTGCTCATCAGCTCGATTACAATACCATTATAATGTGTTTATAATGTTGGTGCTGTAACCTAGTTGATGAGTACAATTGTAAAATGATTTAAATCACTAATGACCCAGCATGATACTTAATGAACAATTCTTGTTAACATGCCCAAATAAATATTTTAATCAGAACAATATGTACCGTTTTATATTTCCTATATGAAGAAATATGACGAGTCATTCACTGTGTAAACATGATGAGTATGGCGCCAGTGTGGATAGCCTCCATTCTGTACATGCAGTGACAGTAACAGAGAAGTGCAAACAGCATACATGCATGGCACATACTACAGTCAAAGTATCAATACGATCAATGCGATCGGTTCATCTGAATTATGTAATACTGCTGAGCCTAATCAAACACAAGAAATTTGCACACACTGACTGACTTGCTGGGAACCCGCTAAGACAATCTGACCATGTTTGTATTTACCTTGCTGTGACATGTGTCACGAGTCACTCGAAATGGTTGAATGGCGAGACGGGACAAAACAGGTCTGACTGGGATTCGCGCATGTGTCTGCCAACATAGTGCTGGTGTGATAAAGTCAGTTTGCAAACTTGATTTGACTGTAAATACAGACTTTATTCAGAAAGGTGATATATCAAATGTGTTACTGGTAAGCTGGCTTCATGACAATGGCAATGATGATGATCATGATCATGACAACACTGAGGACAACAATGATGAAAACGACGACGGCGATGATGATTAGGAAAGCATTATTCCACTTGAGTACTTCACACAATTATTATCTTAAACGCTACCCTAACTATGGGTTACAATATGATGGAGGTGACACCCTGTTCTTCCCTTTGTCACTACTAGGCTGAGCATACACAGAACCCTGTCTGGTATACCACATAGATTACAGATTAAGAAACACAAAGTAACCCACAATGATAGCTCCAGCCTCCTACAGCAGCTTGAAGATGTAGTGTCGCCTCTGGACATATCTCTCCTCTACAATACCCTGCCTCTTATCTGCCAGGTGACACAAAGGTCATGGCCATGAGGTGGAACCCTGAATAATTCTCCAGTAATGTAGAAAATGTTCCCATCTATGTCTTTATAGTCATGTTTCTGCCATTAACTGTCTGTTGTGTCCATTACATGTACATTACCAGTTGTAGTGTTTATGCTTATTGTCCGGTATGGTCCGGTTTACATTATATTCTCCGTCTATTAAAGCGAACGGAAATGTATCTGCGCATGAGCAGCATGAATGGGCAGACGAGTAAAGTGCGGGAGCTGCGAACACGTGTTGTTGTTGTTTTGTGTATGAAACAGAAGGGACTTAAATGGGAGCGCACTAAGTGGCAACACCACATGAATGGCGACGAGGATGGGATTCGAACCCACGCGGGGCCACTTAGTGCGCCCCATTTAAGTCCGCTTGTTTCACACATAAAAAACAACAACACGGTTCAAGCAACTCCACTTTACTCGCTCTGCTCCATCTCATGCTAGATACATTCGCGTTTTAATAGACGGAGAAATATAATAAACCGATCCATACCGACAATAAGCATAAACACTACATCCCTCCTTTTTGTCAAGAAATGAATGATTACTATCATAACACTTAGATAATAAAATTAAGGATTAACATTCAGATGTTAATAATGCCAAATTAAAGTTACAACCTCCATTATTTCAATACCACTTGACTTCAACATGTTCAAGAAATCATAAAACCAATCTTGGATGGAAATCTACCTAAACCTATATTTAGAAGTCTTATCCAGAAATTATCGTGCCCAAAGATATGATAAAGCAATACTGTAACAAAACAAATTCCACATTTTCTGTAGGTCTACATAAAATAAGCATACCTTCTGATATAAATTAAATTTAAATATTTTCTCAAGTTTACATTTTCACTTCCAGTTGTCTGAATTGTTCCTTGAAACAATTGTTCCTTGAATTGTCACTTATGAGTTCACATAACCCAGCACAAAGTCTCCAAATCTTTCGGAGGCTCTCTTCTTATTCTTATTAGGTCTCTGAGTTACTCTCTGTTTTGCTGCACCGGTGTACTGTCAATGTCTGTTACTTTAGAAACACTTGTATCTTCAGATACCTCTGCTGTCTCAGACAACGCATATGTTGACTAGAAACATGACTGTTAGTGTTCTGCACATCACCATCTGGTTTTGACACATACTTTTTTAACATGAGTAACATGTCGCCTCTATACATGCCACCTGTACTAGATTCCAGATCAACTGCATTCCCATACCTTTTCACTACTGTACAAAGTTGAGGATGGAAATTACTGCTTAACTTGTTCTCGCGATGTTGTCTAACAAGCACTTTATCCCTGTCTGTATCGGGTATGTTGAGCACATCGCTTCAGATCAGCATAATCCTTCCCTTTCATCTTTTTGTACAGAGTGAAGTCTCGGACATCATCGTCGTCAATGCCAAAGTCAACCAATTCTGGCAATTTTGTCCTAATTTTTCTACCAAATAGCATCTCAGCTGGTGCTTTTCCAGTAGATGAATCGCGTGCTTCTGTACATCATGAGGAAATGTTGCAATTCCTGTTTCCAATTTTCTCTTCCACCTGAGAAAATCCTCAATATCTTCAGCAGTGACCTGTTCTGTCTCGACCTCTC